CCTCATACATTTTCTTCTCCTTCAACTATTATTCATTTCTACTCAACATTGTATTCACTTTCAAATTTTATTTTTCTTTATCATCTTATGACGTCTTCTATCGAAATCGGAGGAGCATGGAGCACCATGGAAGATGTTTTGTTGTGTGAGTGTTGGGTCCAAATTAGTCATTGTCTCGTCACGGGCAATTAGATGAAATTTTGTCATATGTGGAGAAAAATTCATACCGAATTTTGTGAAAGATCGGGTTCGACCCGTACAGAAATGACATTGTCTAGTAGGTGGAAAATTCTCAATAAAGAGTTGGGGAAATGGAGAGATGCTTTGGCAAAATCGAGGGACAACCATAGAAGTGGGGAAAATCTTAGCAATGAGGTAAATTATTTGTAATTTTCATTTTATTAATTTTAATGTCCTATTATTTTTTTAAAATGTTTCTTGCATTTTTAATCTTTTGTTAATATGTCTTGCATTTCCAATATCTTGTTAATATTTCTTGCATTTCCAATATTTTGTTAATATTTCTTGCATTGCCAATATTTTTTTTAATGTTTCTTGCATTTCCAATATTTAAAAAAAAAAAAAAAAAGATTATGCAAGCACAAATGTGGTTTGGTGCTATTAGGCAAGGCAAAAAAACTTTCAACCATGATCGATGTTGGGAGGTGGTGAAGAATTGTTCGAGATTTCGAATTATTCCAACGGGTTCGACCGTTGTGTTGAACGAGACGCCACTCCATGATTCACCGGCATTGGATTCGCCTTTGGATCCCCGATGACTCAAGACTCACCCATCCAAAAGGAGCCGAGTCCTATTGGGAGAAAGGCGGTGAAAGCGAAGATAGGGAGTAATTCTAGCAGTAATACATCTAAATTTTTGGAGGAAATTGCAAGGCAAAGCGCTATGAGAATTGAAAGAGACATGAAAACTCAAGAAGACGAAAGGGCAATTCAAGTAGAATATGCAAAAGAAAGGGAGTATGTACGCAAAGAAAACATTGAGAGGAATGATCGGAAATCATGGCCATGGATACAAGCCATATATCCCCTGAAATAAAACAATTTTGGAAGCTAGAATGAAAGAATGTTATAAGAAGAAGACTTTTCCATGACGATGGACCTAGCAACACGGATTGGTTAAATGATTTATACCATTAAGTTAGTTTGCTTGCCTTCTATTTCATTGTATTTTAATGTTATGTTTTAAAAATTAGTTGTAATTCATGTAATTTATTTAATTAGTAGTAATTCTTAATTACTTATATTGGTTTTCTTTGAGTGAATAAAGAAAGCATTCAATAAAATACATTTTTATTCAAAACATTCCATAAATAAAAAACCACAACCAAAGCATTAAAAAAAATGAAACCACAACCAAAGCATAACTAAAAATAAAACATAACCTACGCATAATTTTTTTATAAAAAAATAAAAAAATCTTCACTTCCCTTCATTCACCGTCATTGCCTTTCACTGCCCATAAATGCTTCATCAAGTCAACTTGACGTCGTTCATGAATTTAAGACGACTGCATCTCCGTATATCGATCAATCATACGAGTCATGAAACGATCGTCCCTAACCAACGGTTCATGTTCCAATGGTTCTCCATTTGGCCCCATGCGTCACAACCAAAGCATTAAAAAAAATTGTTTGGGCCAAAAATTGACACATCCAGCCCAAGGCCCATCAGAACAAACAAAGCTGAGTTGGGCCTCACAGGCCCAACATAATAGGAAGAGGGAGTCCAGACCAGAAGAGGGAACAATCCCACATGGCAGCCTCTGGGATAAAAGTCAGCAATGGCGGAAGTCAGCAGGGATGAAAAGTCAGCAAAGGCAGCCTCTGAAATGAAAAAAGTCAGCAATAACAACTGCCATAGAAGAAGTGACTGAAGGGTTCGTGACATCAAGAAGAACTGAAGATTAAGTCCCCCTTATATATGTATATACAGAGATTTTTTCTGTCTTTACAGAGAAGGTAAATCTCCCAAGATAGATAAGCAGGTTACAATCTCAGAGAGGGATAAGCAGGAAAGCAGGGAGCTGTCCAGAAGGGGCAGCTGAAAAACAGGGAAGTGATCACCTATCTGAGAGCCTATCTGCCAGAATTGAAGAAGAGGAGGAAAAGGGGGGAAAATATCTTTGCCGCCCAATAAAAAAACACAGTTTAAATTCCATCAGTTCTGCCTAAAAACAGTTTAAATTCCATCAGTTCTGCCTAAAAACAGTTTAAATTCCATCAGTTCTGCCTAAAAACAGTTTAAATTCCATCAGTTCTGCCTAAAAACAGTTTAAATTCCATCAGTTCTGCCTAAAAACAGTTTAAATTCCATCAGTTCTGCCTAAAAACAGTTTAAATTCCATCAGTTCTGCCTAAAAACAGTTTAAATTCCATCAGTTCTGCCTAAAAACAGTTTAAATTCCATCAGTTCTGCCTAAAAACAGTTTAAATTCCATCAGTTCTGCCTAAAAACAGTTTAAATTCCATCAGTTCTGCCTAAAAACAGTTTAAATTCCATCAGTTCTGCCTAAAAACAGTTTAAATTCCATCAGTTCTGCCTAAAAACAGTTTAAATTCCATCAGTTCTGCCTAAAAACAGTTTAAATTCCATCAGTTCTGCCTAAAAACAGTTTAAATTCCATCAGTTCTGCCTGAAACAGTTTAAATTCCATCAACCATTTTGGCCAGAGCAGCCTGTTTATACTGAGATAAATTGTTAAAGTCCTCACCCGTCTGAGGCAAGAAAAGAACTTACTTGGGAGATATTCCTCACCCAAATTCACAATCGTTTGTTTGCAGAAATCAGTAACTTGGGGCGCAAGTTATCTACTCCAAACTAAGTCTGCTAGAATTTTTATTGCTAGCAGTGGCACGCTCGCACACCAAAGAAAGCTGACTTGTCGACCAGTTTATGGTTCTCAAGGCAGTGAGGAACTTTGCCCTTCCATCACAGGAGTGAACGCCAAACGGGCAAACAAAAATAAAACCACAATCAAAGCATAACTAAAAATAAAACATAACCTAAGCATAATCATAATAATAAATAAATAAAGCATCTTCACTTCACTTCATTCACCGTCATTGCCTTTCACCGCCCATAAATGCTCCATCAAGTCAACTTGACGTCGTTCATGAATATAAGACGATTGCATCTCCGTATATCGATCAATCATATGGGTCATGAAACGACTGTCCCTAGCCAATGGTTCATGATCCAATAGTTCTCCATTTGGCCCCATGTGCTTTTCATAAATTCTTGTCAAGGCCGTATTCATGGGATCCGGTTCGTACACGTCTGTAGCATCTTAATCATAGTCATCTTCCACAATCATGTTATGGAGGATGATGCATGTCATCATTATGCTCATCAGCACCTCCTCATCAAACAGACGCGCCGCTCCCCTAATAATAGCCAAGCGGGCTTAGAGGATACCAAAAATATGAGAAATGAAAATATAGAGAATATCTGGTGTGAGAGGCATGAGCTGAACCTCTAATTTTATAGAAAAAATTAGGCAGATAGAGATGACACGTGGCGTGATTTTAGAGGGTGAAAATCTTATACGAAATTTGAAATTTGATTTTTTTCTGAAATTTAAAACCGAAAATATTATCCGAAAATTTTATCCGATTATGAGATATAAATTTTATAATTAATATTGAAATGTACGAATCCAAAAATCTTATCAGAAAATCTTATCCAAATTAATTATTTATGTTTAAAAAAAATGAAAAATAAATAGTATTTGCCCACGGGTGGAAACACACATTGCTTTTTATAAGGGCAGGTGCCCCTAGCCCCCCATTGCCATGGCAAATGGCAAATGGGTGGAGTTGCTCTATGCAGCAACTTCCTAAACATATCACTTTCCAAGACAGCTCCTAGAATTTAAGAACTTGCACACTTACATATAACAAGCAAAATGCTATATAGACCTTTTTTTGGTTTTTAATGCTATAGACCTCAGCGAAAATTCTGTGGTGCATCGGCTGTACCGGTACAGCCAATGATCCAACGGCTGAGATTCCATGTTAAAAAAGCATGGCTGAGATTGAATGACTTAATAACCTGTTGAGCCCTAGTTATTCAACATGTGAGTGGCATGTGAGGAAAGAGAAAGGGAGGTTTGGAGGATGAAGAAGACGCGCAGAGAGAGGCAAGATGAAGAAGACGCGCAAGTTTGGAGAAGAAGACGCGCGGTTTCCCCTGTAGTTGGCAAAATTGAAAATTCTAAGAGTCCATCCAATCCTTAGTGCCTCCAGGAACTCTTCTCTTTGCTTGCCCAAATCCAATCCCTAGCTCCTCCAGGAACTCTTTTCTCTGCTTGCCCACTGTCTTTGCTTGCTGAAGAACTTTTGGATCTGCTTCACCAGGAAGTCATCTCTCTCAGTTGCCCAAATCCATCCTAAGCGCGTCCAACTCTTATTTGTGCTTGGGCAAAATGCATCTGCAAGAAGGTAATGCTCATTGAATTGAGGTCCTCAACTCTTCTCTCTGGTTGCCCAAAACTCATATGCAGATATGGAATTGATGGTGGGTCCAACCTCCATGATGAAATGGTCACCAAATTGGAGTTATTGAATTAATTCAGTTTCTTCTGTTGGCGTTGTCTGATATAGAATTTCAATTTCGTAGGGGAATGGATTTGTAATAACAACGTGGTTGTAAAGATTTTGAAGATCCTTGGTTGTTAACAACGACATTTGAGTTGGTGGCAAAAGGAAGTGCAAGGAGGAGGCTTTGAAAGTATGGAAACATCAAGTAAGATTTCAAAGAAACCTCTTTTCTGGTTTAGGACTTGAATGTATTTTGGGTAATGAGTTGATCTAATTGCATGTTTTTTGTTGCGAAATAGTTATACGTGGTGCAATTATTGACCTGACTATATGCAATTGCATGAGATTTGTGTTTTGTTAAGAGAAAGTATGTTAACACATAGAGTATAACGTAATTTCAGTTTGAAATTATATTTCTCAAGCATAGAAGGGTGTGGTAAGATGGACAGGGGTGTAGAGACATCAAAGGGTGGTTGTAGTGATTCAGGGTATCTGGTTGGTTGTGAAAGGTCGAGTCACAGGGCACCGGCAACAGAGAGTGGGCATATGTCGGTCGAACATATGGTTAGTCAAAGTAGTGATGATAATGGTGTTGACATGATTGCACCGAGGAAAGAAGATGTTATAGGGAAAAAGTTTAAAACGATAGAATTAGCGGAACAATATTATATGAGTTATGCAAAGGGCATTGGATTTAGCATGAGAAAAGACAAATTGGTTTGAAATTCGGAAGGGAAAGTATGTAGGAGACGGTAGTGTTGTTCTAAAGAAGGTTTGAGAAATGAGAAGTTTAATGATCGATCAAATAGAATTCAACCACTGAAGGCAATTACAAGAGAGAATTGTTCTGCCCATTTTTGGGTGGGTTATGAGAAGAAACGTGATGTTTACGTCGTTAGGAATTTTGAACCACATCACAATCATCAACTAGTTACTCCACTTGAATCGCCATATCTCCGATGTAACCGTGTCGTTAGAAAATTTGATTTAGCACAAGCAGTGGGAATGCGAAGAGCATTGTTTAGAACATGTCAAACATATGAGTATATGGTGGACCAATCTAGCGGGTATTTAAATGTTGGTTTTCAAATAAAGGATCTGTACAATAATTTGGATGCATCACGCAGGGAAATTTTACTCGACGGTGACACAGAAGCCGCACTCCGTTACTTGAAAGCGAAAGGAGCAATGGATCCAGAATTCTTTTGTAAGTTCAGTGTTGACGAGGAAAATAGGCTTGGTAATTTGTTTTGGAGGGACTCCACTTCACTTTTGGATTACATTGCCTATGGCGACGTCCTCATATTCGACAGCACATACAAAACAAATGTTTATGACAAGCCCCTAGTGTTGTTTGTCGGTTCGAACAACTATCGGTCTACTGTAATGTTTGGTTGCGCATTATTGCAGGACGAGACATTTGAAACTTACAAGTGGTTATTGGAAACATTCATGGCATCCATGAAAGATAAGAAGCCAATATCAATATTGACGGATGGCGATGAGGCAATGCGTAAAGCCATTGATGATGTGTTTCCCATGTCTAACCATCGATTTTGCTCATGGCATGTGTCAAGGAATGCACAGAATAACTTGAAGGATGATGAATTCCTAAGAAATTTTTAGGCATGTATTTGGGAACCATTTGCATTGGACGAGTTTGAGAAGAAATTGGAGGTTTTTAGGGAAAG